CTCAAAAAGGATTGTCGCTGACGCGCGTGCATTAAAAATAAAACTAGACTTACGATTATTTTTTTTTCTATATCAGCCTGGATTTAAATCTACGTGCTCTAATATTCGGCTAACCGTGCCGCTCACATGAAACGTTTGCATACTGAGCAGCACGGCACTGACCAGTATACTTTATTATAACGTTGGCAGAGACGCTAAGTTCACCAAGAAGCATTCTCGCAGCGTTGTACGCATTTAATCATTACAACAATTTTTGTTCTTTGTTTTCCTCCGATGGATTTGTGTGAACGGAAAGTCAATTCTAAAACAAGAATTGCTTCCCTATCGAACAAACCTCAAACATACATCCTAAAACTCCACAAAAAACAACACCGGAAACGTCAGCCTAGTCTCATACGTCCGCACAAATTTCTCTCTCCGTCCTCCCTTTCCCCCAATAAGAAAAAAAAAGCGCGTTATTTTCTCGTGATTGATATCCGGTTATATATAGAGTGAACACTCGATATCTTCGCGATTTACAAAAACAGACTAGGGTAATTTTATATCTAATCGAAAAACCCAGAGAATATAGATCATGAATCCCCATTCCAAGATGTAAAAGAACACAAAATAAAAAAAAGCCAAAAACTACAACGAAATGTACGCCTTTAACAGAGACAGCAAAATTAATCTCCCTTCGACATCACCCGTAAGAAAAAAGCGATGGTAATAAGAAAAAATAAGTCTATAATCACTGATAGCAATTAAGAAATAAGGGGCCTGGCGCTTCCCGATCATACAATTATTACTCCAGAGCCAATCAAATGGCGGCGTTTGCCGATGAAAACGTCGAAGAACGAATCACAAAAGAAAAAAAAAAATGCTACGCCTTGCGTGTCTGAAGTTGTCAACGAAAGTAAGGAAAGAAACGCGAAAAGAACTTTTATACAGGGTGTTCCCGAGAAAAAAGACCGGTGTTTTTTGGGCCGGGTAAAAAAACTACGGATCGTAGAACTGTGGGAATGTGACGCACACGGTTGGGATCAGACGCGAAAAGTTGAAAAAATATTGCGTTTTACCTGTCCTAAAAGGTAATAAAGGAAAGTAAAAAGTTTTCTATGAGCCGACGTCTACCCAAGCCTAATACTGTCAAAACAGGAACTGGGATGGCGGACGCATGTTGCATTTGTGTCAGGGAAACACGCTCGTCTGCAAGAAAACGAATATTGCTTTCTTCCTTGCTTTTTTTTTACTGGAATAGTTGTCAAGAAAACCCAATGACATTGTTTCAACTGACGATATTATTTTTAGGTACACGGCGGCACAAAGATACATTTCGCTTGTTCTCGATCATCTTTTGATCCAGGAAGCGTTATGTTCTCAAACATTCGCAGTCTATCCCGACCTGTATTCTCACATGCTCACGAAGACGGAGTTTTCTGCGACGCTTAGTTTATTTGCGCGGGTCGAAAAAACGAGGATTACTATTTTTTTTTTCGGGAGATCCCCGTATTTTCGGAAGGATGCACGAAGCCCTAGATGGCAGCAGATATCGATGGTGCGCCGAGGCCTTCGCGAGAATAATTCAGGTTGATCCTCGACGGGGACTCGGTCGGGGTCCTGGCTTATGTTACGCGGGACAGTGCCTTATTGGTCCAGACACGCGGGAAAATCCTCCTCGGTGGTTGCCAGCCCAGCGTCATTGATTTTTATGTCGGACCAACCTAATTAGTTTGGGACGTTTTTTTTTCTTTGTTTCAAGGGACGTTTTTGTTTCGCTATTCTGGGGAAGGATAGGCGGATTAGTCGCCTCACTTTCGCAGCGCATCTTGGTTGTTTCGTCTCCTCAGTGCACGCGAGCATGAGGCGGACGAGTGATTGCAGGTTGATCTTCTACAAAGTAGATAGACGTCGCAGCTAGGTGGGATATGTTCCTTAGTCGGCGAATTGTGAACACGGTAGTCGAGCACATTCAAAGAACTTAGAATGTTCTTGCTACTAGCCGCAAAACTTTAGATTCCGAGATTTGTTCTAGCTGTTCGGATAAACACGTATAATAATTTGTGAATTCCAGACGTCACGTAGGTAGAAACGTGTCTCGTGAATAGAGACCACTCTAACTCGAATAGGGAAACAACAGTTAGGGCGCAGGCGAGCTGCTGTAGGTTTACTATTTTTTTAGTCCACCTGAGACTGGGTTGAGAGCTCGTCGTGATTCTTCCACCCAGTCTCAGGTGGTCTGAAAATGGTTGAATAGGGAGTTTTCGTAGATGGTTCTCACCGTCCTGCAACGCTTTCCGGAACCCGTTACGGTACCCGGAACTCTACAGTCAAGGCCATCGGCGCGCAGGCGCAGCAGCGGCTTCTTCGTTGCGGAGAGCTTGGGTGTAGGGGGAAACGCGGTCTATGAAAACTCCCCAATATTCCGCTCTATAGAGAATATTTTCGGGCGCAAACTGGGTGAATATATTGCCGCGTGCATGATTGAGAAGATACGTTCTCCGTTCATCCCGATGATTCGCGTATACTCTTACCCCGAGCGCGTAAACGATAAGGAGGCCAGAATGACCTTGTCAAGTCAGTCTCACCCTAGCTCTTTCCCGAACATTCTAGGCCGAATATTCGAGATGACGAGCATAGCAGATAAAGAGCCGAGCGCCGTATTGCGGATTCATTCACTGATCCTTTCTCGCGATAGCCAGCTGTTACGCCGACGCGCCGTCGCTTGCCGCTGCCGCCGTCGACGCTTCCTGCTGTTTTATCGACGTGTGTTCTCTTTCGTTTCAGGCACAATCTCGCCTCCATTAAACCTTTAGTTCATTCTGTTTTTGCCTGCCTCATCGTTTGTCATTCGTAACAACATGCATTTTGTCCCGTTATTAATATCGATTTCTCCTGAAAGCTAGTTCACACAGCCCCGTTTTCTTATGGTACCTTACGCTACGACATTTTGCGTACAATTCACCGTGGCATCTGTGCTTCATATTTAGCGTGGCTTCCAGTTCAAGAACAAAGCATGGCACACGACATTCGAGATACAAATGTTTCGGTAACTTATACGTAACGTAAGAAAGCGATGCCGGGTGGACCAGCCTTTAGGGTGATTCTTTGGGAAACGGAGGTGTCCGTATCTACGAGATATCAGTGTATTCTAAGTTTGCAGAAAAAAAAAAAACTTGAAATCTTCACGGTGCAATACAGTCAAGGAAAAGATGGCGACTGACAGGTTGCACTCTCCCTCAAAGCAGCCTCAAAGCAGGCAAACGGTCGGTGGACTTTGAAAGGGTGCAAAACTTATTTCGAACATGTAACCTAACGCCCGGTATCAAACGCTCCCATCACGGTAGTAAGTGAGCGCTACCTGATTCCAAAGTCAGAAGCCGTTTCGGGAAACATTTTAATGAGAAAATGTCAGCCATCCAAGCCCAGGGATATACGGTGACGCATCAAAGCGCCCGATTCTAAAAAAAAAAAAAAACGGAAGCCATTTTCTAATTAAAAACTCCCCGAAACCTAATCGCATCGTACTTTCCGATAAAAAGCTCGCGTAGCTCACAAATCTCGGCACATTATATCATCAACCAACGAAACCTTTGGAGGGAATCTGATATTTCTGCAATTTGTAATAAGAACACAAATGAACGAATAAAAAAAAAACAACAACAAGAAGTCCGATAATAATACTCCAATCGAACGCCTTTTCAAGTTGTCAAAAAATTTAGATATTTTTTTTCAATTATAGCTATGTTTAACGAAAACATAGCTATAATTACTGAAAGCTCCAGAAATGCAGGGAATGCCTTATAATAGCTTTTCTTATCGTCGAATGCGTTAGTAACACTGCCTCTGAGGCGATCATATAAAGCTCGCTGGACTAACTCCACCCCGCGATTGCTAAAATACCAATTACTATACCGCCCTCATGCACCTCAATCAAAAGGTTCGTCGTTCCCGACGTGGATCGAGCTTTACTTCGTTAATATGCCGAACGTCCCTTTAACAATAAACAAAACAAAAAAGCATAAAAAAGGGACCGAATGCGTCTTAAAGATATCCGAATTTAAATTTAAAAAGAACAGGCTTACGTACATAGTACAAGCTTCGTATTTCCATCCTGGCGTTTCAGAAGGATTGATTAAGCATGCGTTCCTTAACGTGCGCATCTTATTAAAGCGTGAGCAGCCCGTAAAACATCGCCGCTTTCGAAACGAGGAAATTTCGCGACGCGCGATATTTATTAAGGCTATCGATCGAGCAGCTGCGCCCCCGGTGGCGCGGCGGCTGCGGCCCCTCGGCGCGGAATTTATAAACGAGCCGAATGCGCACTGCGGCGCCCATCGCCGCTTCTGTAAATGGTCCGAGCTCTCTTATCTCTCCTTCTCTCTCTCACGAAGAGGTTTCTCTTAGAATCGGTGCGATAGGCCATTTGCGAATGTTGCGCGGTTTTAACTCGAAAGAAGGCTGGCAATGGCGGGAGCCTCGCAAAACACCTGCCTGGTTCGCTGAAAAAAATAAATAAAATAGAACCGTCTGGGTAGATATACAAAACGAAATGATCATCCTGGGTGCCTTGCTTTCTCCGTAGCCTCCACTCCAAGAAGTATGAATTGACTACTCTGCCGCAAAGCACTCGAGCAAAACCAATCACTACAATCTACGGACGGATGTCGGCGAATGACGAGACTGAAATAATGTTTAAACATAAAGAAAAACAACCCGCGAAGTGGCACTGAGCGATTGAATCTCACCGGTGCTTTCCGGGAAGTGCCGACGCTTCGGTTTGATTAGAGTGTACACAAACTCATTTCTTTGACGTCACGCCATTGTGGCGGCGCTGTTGTGGGCCCGTCGCGTGTGCATAGGCTCCGTCTTAGGCGAACCTGGTTTTCTGCGCATGCGCACGCAGTGCCCCCGCTTGGTGTACGCAGACACGGGCCTGTTTGTAGAAGTGCGTGTGTGTGTACAGAAGCGTATTCGGGGATGATCGTCGCGTCGTTCTTACTCGGGCTCGCTTCTCGCAGTGTGCCAGCAGATGAGCCGCGGCATCATCACCGTCGTGGCGCCCAACGTGGGGTCCTCGTACGAGACGCTGGTGTCGCTGTCCAACACCTTCCAGATGCCCTTCGTGAGCACCTGCTTCCCCGAGCTGGCCGCCCTCCGACCGGCCTACTTCGGCGTCTCGCTCAAGCCAAACTACATACCCGCCATCTTGGACGTGATCAAGTACTACAACTGGCCCTTCATCATCTACCTCTACGACACGGATGACGGTGAGCCCGCAGCCCGTGCATCCGGGTCTTTTGGAAACGCTCGTGCAGACATGCGATGTTGCGGCGCACAAAAGCAGACGCACAATTTGCACAGGAGGTCAAAAAGAAAGACTCACGCAACGCTGACGTTTTCCTAATTATCTGCCTATGCAAATTTTGTGTTTGCTTTTTTGCGCTGTAATATCGGAGATATAAACGACCAACCCGCTGAAACTGCGATCTTCACAAGCTTGAACAGAGCAGGGATAACGGAATGCAACAAGAACGGCGAAAAAGAGCGAGGACGGGACTACACATATTTTGTCCTGTCCTCGTCCTTTCTGCCACTCTTGTTGCTTTCCTTTGCCCCCTAACTTTTTCCAGCACGCTCTAAGTATGTCGAGACCGGTTATAACGAAGCCGGTTATAACGAAATAGTGCATATAGCGTTAACCCCAATCAATTTGAACAGAGCGCGTAAAAAAAAAAAAAAAAGAAGAAAGATAGCAAGTTGGGGAGGGGGTAGGAGGGATTAGTGACCGAGTGTGTTTGCCCACCGAAGCTCGAATCGCGTGAAGCAAACACTCCCGCTTTCCCGCTGCAAAACCGAGGAACCCTGGCCGTGTCTTGATTTGGATAAGCACCATACCGGAGTGCGATCACGCATCACCGCTACGTGAAGGAGGACAAAGACCACAGTGATGCTGTCAAAAATTATCATCTCTACCGGAGACGCTAAATACACACTTCGGCTGTCTAATTCCCCATTGCCTAAACATACGCACAACACACAAATACTCATTAAAGATCCACCGACTCTGGCTGCGCTGACCCTATAAACAAGCTTTCTAATCCAGATCGACCTGAAGTGAGAAATCAGTTAACAGGAGACTCAATGTGGTTTTGTATTTTTCACCGGTAACCCTAGACAAGTGAGCCAACTTCATAAACTCTTTATTGAGTCATCATGTAGGTTGCGCGATGCTCCTATTGCGGACACAAAATAGGCGCTTTTTGCTATCTTACTTTGAGTTGATATCAGCAGGTATGAAATGTTACCAGTTAGGATAGTGTTCTAAACGAGCACCATCAACCAAATTACTAATTTTAGTGACAATTCCTTGATTCTATACCACAACCAGCAAAAACACGAGATCGCTTGTTTGCACTACCAATGTCACGCTTTTAACGTTGTCTCTGTGCTCAGTGTTGATTTTTTTGTCTCCCTTTTTTATTTTTTACATAAGAGCAAGAAACAATGAGAATTATTTCCAGAACCAGCGGAAAACGTTTTCACATTGCCCGGTAAGATGGCGAAGAAGAGAAAACGGCTTTGCTGATTCAGATTTTAAATTATGGTGACTGCAAAATACTAGCACGTAACCAAATGTTTGTAATGGTTCGGCTTAGACTTGTAGATTAGATGGCCGTAAGAAAATACCATGACCAGAAACGCCCATGCAAGCAGCAAAACTACGCAATCCTCCATGCAGGCTGCTTGTGTTGTGACAGCGACAGCGCCGCAAACGAGGAATTCCTGTACGTGCTAACTCCTGCCGCAGGCCAAAGAAAGTCTCAATAGCACAATAGTGAGTTTTAGTATATCGTGTTTCCAGGCGACGCTATTTGTGGCGTGAGCTCGCGATGCAATTTTGATTCCTGCTTTAAAACGCGCGCCCGTAGCGGAAGTGGACCTTTCAAAACGATCTACTAAAACTCCCTAAACAAAATTTTCTGAAACCTGGCGAAGGAGGCTTACAATAAAACGTGGCCATAAAATTGCCCACACCTCGGTGTGATGTAGGGGTGTATGCGTCAGGCAAGCAGAGGAAGCCGTAGCCCAGCTGAAGGTGACAATTGATCCGTAAAAAACCACGCGCCTGTGTAGGGCGTCGGATTTTGTTCACTCCCCGAGGCAAACTATCCCTTTTTGAAAGCGGTGGCTGTGCTCATAATTCCTACGTTTAACCACCCAAAAATAACGTGAACTATCATAAATAAGTTGGTTCGCGAACAAGCATTGACATCTAGACATAATGCCCTATCAGCTTCAAAACGGGAAAAAAATTCGTATAACCTCTAGAAAGTTTACCCTCTCTCTAGTTTTTTTTAATTTTTTTTTCCACACAAACCTTCGATTTGTGTTGTACTTTCAAGGGCGTAGTTTAAAATTTGAGATGGCACGGAAGGTTTATGGTCATCGATACGAGGACGACTGAGTTGAAGTACGAAATTTTGATATTAAAAAAAAAAAGCAATGATAAATTGGTACGTCTGTTTGCTGTAGATAATGTGAACGACTCGGTGCTGCTCAGTCAGCGGAGCTGTGCGGAAACATCTATTGTGATTAACTGGGAGTTTCAACTTGGTGAATCGTTTACGCTCATATGTAGAGGAGAGCTACGGCTTGATCTTCGATCGTTTTCAACTAAACCTATTTTATTAAGAAGCACAAGAAACGAAACCTTGAGCAGCAAGTTAATTTCCCCAACATTTCTCAAAATGACTGCATATTTACTGGTCTGTCATCGTGTTGTGACGTCAGACGTCTTGCAAACACACATGCGCAGCTTGAGTTTCTTTCACCCAGCGTCAAAAGCAGTCAGAAGGCCCTCATGAGCATGATGTGACTCTGCCGTATTTATTCGTGGTATTAGGACACCCCACAACCCCCATCACCAATCCCCCCCAACCCTCCATTGCGTACCGCAAATAGCCAAAATCAGATGCAATTCGCCAAACCACGAACGCTCACATTTCGCTCACAAACGCTCATCACAATGCTCAAGGCCGTGGAGTAGGGAATGTCGTATGCTCTCGAATACTAGACTTGACGTCACGAGTGCCTCGGCTGGTTGTCGCCAAAATAGCGGCAGCAAGTGATTCGGAGGTGTATCCGCAAACTTCAAAATTAATTTTCCCGAAAGAAAATTTAACTTTCGATTAAATATTTCGGAGACATACTCACGGGTGGATATTCAGTACACGGTGAAAATTTTATAAGCACCAATAGAAATCCGTATTTGGCCGGCCTTTTCTAGATTGAAAGGCTCAAACTAAAAGAGTCTCGTTGTCTTGTATCCTGGTCAATCAAACAACTATTTGCATAACTGCACCACTGGCACGCGGCCTATATCAGGTAATACATTTTATATAGCTAGAATACAATATTTTCGATACTAAAGAAAAAAAGAAAAGCTCCTCAGAAGATGTTATTACTAATGCTACACAAGCGTCCTGGAATATAATCTCTACAGCTTTTACACCAACATGAATGCATCACATTTCTCCGGGATTAGACGGCTCGAAACCTCCTTGTCAAGAAACTCCTGTTCGCATCATAGCGAGTCCTAAGCTCCTCCACAGGGTACCGCGCGGGAACTTCCGACAAAGATAGTAGAATCACCGACAAACCGAAGACGCGTGGGTCGGGGTAACTCTCCCAAGCCTGGCTTTACAACTTCTTAGCCAACGAGATGGTCGAGTAAGCCAATAAAAATGACAAGAAACGAATCAAGTAGCAATACGTGTAAACGTAATAAACCATTCCCCGCGCTCCTTAAAATGGTACATTCACTGGAAATTTAAGAAACGCAAGTTACCATTCGTTATATTCACGTGCCCCGCATCTTAATTGGTTGTTTGACGTTCATGTTGACCACTCCCGAAACATTACTAGCTGCAGAGCACAAATATTATTCCTCTGAGCTTGCCACGTTTTGCATTTCTTAAGATGGGGGTCGGTGATTTATAGCTGTCGCGACCTGACTGTTTACTCCGGCTACGGTGCAACGCCTCCTAGATACGAAGGTCAAAATAGGGAACTTTCCACGTCACGCGAGGAGACGAATTTGGGGCGCCGATTGAGTATGAGAGCTGCGTCAGCTGGCTGCTGAACCTCGAGTTCACACTAACCAGAGTCGAACCTCAGTCGAATGCCGACGAAGCACTCCCGATGAGTCCGCCCCTGGCGTTCGCCTTTTTAAGGTGACGTGAAAAAAGAAAAAAATTCAGCACTACGGACTTCTTAGCAATAGGTAGCGTTGGACGTCGCCAGTCTTTACTAGAGTGCACCGGTCTCTCTCTCTCTCTCTTTCCCAGAAACATCATCATCTATTCCGCGTTCACCGGCTCCTCCCTCTTTTTTTTTTTTCGTTGTATTTTTTTTATTATCTTCCGGTGGTAAAACATGCGTCTAAGCGACCGCCTCATTGTTCCTTCGCCGCTCGCGTCCCCCCGCCCCGAGTCCCCAACTGCGCTAATTAGTCGCGCATTTTCTTTTCATCCCACTAACGACGCCGAAATCCAGAAAGCTCTTCAGCGAAAAAAAAATATATATCGAGCGCACACACAAAGGCCGGGAAGCCAAAATACCGTAGAACGTCGTCCGCCGCCGACGTACTTTGCGTTGAGACCGGGGAGAGTCGTGCATCCTGTTCGGATGATTACCTCGCGGCCCCCCGTTAAAACCCGGTATTGTGCAGACGCTCGTGGTTGCTGTTATGCTACTGCTGTTGCCCCTCTCGAGAGCCCGCAGGAATTAGCCTCCCTCCAATCGCGAATTTCGGGGCCGCGGGCGAAGTTAGGTTAGGCTTGTTGGTTCTGTTCGTGGCTTTGTCTAGAGGTTGCGCTCGCATGTTTTCATGCGTGTATGATTCTAGTCAGTGAAAGGCCAGTGTACCTTTACGCGGCGTGATAGTTGGTGTTTTATAGAAAATCTTTTCGAAACATAGCATGATTGCTATGCACCCTAAGACGGTGCTTGTCCAAACTGTGGGTCGCGACCCTAATGAGCGCTCGTGACAGATCCAGCAGGGGGTCACCAAGCGGCTCAAAAACTTGAAAAAAAAAAAGCAAACTTTGCTTTTTTTCGGTAGGTTGGATGAAAACAAAGTACAGGTGGCAGTTCAACATCATGGCGGATTTGAGAAGCGCGGTGTTAAAACTCCGACTTCGGTTAAAAGTGAACTGTCCGTTTAACAAGCAGGCTCGCTTCAGCCATTAGCAAAATCATTCCTGCA